TTCGTAATAATACTCTGATGCCATTTGTCTCTTTTACCGTGTTAGTATTTACACTATTGGTACAAAAGTAATGCTGGGACATCTTAGTAGTGGCACCGGATAGTATAAGAAGTCGTTATATTCTGCCTACTATGCACTCGTAGTTGGAAAAAAAAAGTTTTACTTAAGAATATCATTGAAACAATAAAAATTGTTAATTTTATTAAAACTTGGTCCCCAGGTGCAAGTCTTTTAATCAAATGGAAATTATATTTAAAGCTCTTTTGCTGCACACCCAAGAACATTGGCTGTCTCCAGGAAAAACATCAGCATGACTGTTTGGGTTGCTAGCTAAACTAGCCACTTTTTCATAGAATACCATTTGTACTCGAAAGAACGACGAACGTACAAACTATGGTGTCTGGTAAATTACTGAACTAAGTTAACAAGTGAAGTAAAGTGAGCCTATTACTTGTAGGAAAACAATCGACAGCATTTTGTTGCTAGCGATAAAACTGAAGCTTTTGAGCAAAAATGAATATTTTGGCAAACGCGACCTGCCAATGACTTTAGTAGCTTCTCAATACTTGACTTTTTAAATGAGATTAATGGTAATGTTAACAGATGTGACTTTTTGATATTGGGTAATGAAATATGTCAACATTCGGAATACCTGCACCACTCAGTGAACCCATATTTCCCAAATGATCAATGCCAGATGTTAAAAAAACCACACGTGGGTACAAAATCCGTTCGAAGCGCAAATTAGACCAATGGCTTTGTCCACTTCAACATATCACAAAAATAAGGTTTCAGATACCACACTGCAGCAAACCTCTAAGAAACTACCATTTTGCGGGTTTTGGTGTAGCATCAAAGAAAAATATCCAGTTATCTAATATGGAAATTAATATACTCCTCCCTTTTCCAACTGCGTATCTGTGTGATGCCCGATTTTCAACCAAAACAAGAAATCACAGAACTTGACTGAAGGAACAGAAAGGAGCATTCGGCAATCTTTTATGAAGTTAGACATTAAAGTTTTTGCAAAAACGTAAAACAATGCTGCTGCTGTTCTCATGCAAATCTTTTTGTTTTGGAAAAAATAGTTATTTTTCATTAAAAAGTTTTACTTTTGTTAACATGGGATGGGGTTTATTTTTGTTATTTTAAAATAAATTATTGAAGATTTAGACACGTTTTCAGTTTTAATTTCTAGAATGATAAATACCGTTAGATCTAAACCACATAAACAAAAGCTCTTTGAGGTCTTCAGTTTTGTAAGGGTGGGCCAGACCAGGAAGTTCAAGAAATACTGTCCTAAGAAGATAAACAGATTTACAAACACAGATCTTTAGTGTAGTGATGTATAATGGCAAACACAAAAAGAAAAAAGTGGAAACCACTTAAATGTCCAATAATAGGAAAGTGGCTAAATAAATTATGGTGCTTCCATTTGGTAGAACATTATGTAGTCATTAAAAATTATATTTTCCAAGAGTATTTACTCTTGTGGGAAAATGCTCAACACATTTGACATGCCATTAAGTGATTTTAAAAGGAAAGAAGCGAATTTTCATGATCTTTGTTTCTGAAATGCCTTGATTCTTGAAGTAATCAGTAAAACTGAGGGGGGCCTGGGGAAATCAACAGACACCCCCAGAGAGGTCCCAAAGAGACTTGGGTATGATCTCACATGCACCCAAGTACGCGCACGATAACTCCATTCTTTCTTAAATGATCATTCAGGGACTCTGCCTTTAAACTCACAGTGAAACCCAGATCCTAAACCAAACATTCCCGGACTGATCCCCAGAGAAACAAAGGAAGCTTCTAAACCCTACTGTCCCCAAACTAAATTCATTTCATTGCTTTGATGTTGGATCCATGAGCTCATGTTTTGGGTGTCTGCTTGACTTTCTAATCCCTCACATGCTGGAAAATTCTGGTCTCATCCAACTCCAAACCAAATACGGGGGGTGGGAAAAGTGGGGACCTAGCTAGAGTGGAAGTCTTTGGGGGCTTTACGTGTTCCTATTGCAGAGACACTGGTTTTTAACAAGGGTTGCCCAACGTCTGCGACTTACTTGGCTTGTGCATTTATCTTTATTCTCCTCATTATGGGTCTATAAATCCCTTTTCGTGCCCCAGCCTACTTCTGCCCACATCTGTCTGCAATTTACTCACCACGTGCTACGGCAGGGGTGGAATCATCTGATTTATGACTTTGCAGGATGCCAGGCAGTACTCTCGGTGGCTGAAAGTGCCCACTTTCCTGCTTTTCAGGAACACGGCTACCTTGAGCTTGGATGGGCTCAGGAGCTCTAAGATCTGAGCCACCCCTAATGGGAATTAGGAGACCTAGCAGACCCAAGGAGGTCCGCCAAGGCCCCTCTCATCTGATATTCACTAAATAATTGCACTAATGGTTCCAGGCACTGGGCCAAGCACTGGATATCTCATTTAATCCTCACGAAAACCCTCTGAAGTAGCTACTATTATTAGCCCCAATCGTAAGAAAAACAGAAATTATTACTGCTACCCTCGGCAAGGGAACTATGGTTCAGAGAGGTTGAGGAATTCACTCAAGGTCACATTGCTAGTAAGTGGTTCAAGCCCAGAACTGACACCAGAGTCTGCGGTCCCCATTACTAGCTACAATGGTGTCCCGTCTCTCTCGTCCAGGCGGTCTTCACCCCCCCAGAAGAAAGATGAGATGTGTGCGTGCAGTGGAAAAAGTTTCTGACTGCTGCTAATTAGCTCCGTACCTTCCGCCCCGTCACTTCACCTTCCCCAGCCTCATTCAGGTGCCTCCATCTGTGAAAAGGGGTTACCGCCTCCTAGCAAGACTGAGGTAAATGATAGACCAGGTGCTCAGACCAGTGTGGGCACAAAGCAGGTGCTTGATAAAGCTTTTTTTTTTTTTTAATTTAAATGAATACCACAAATTCTCATTGACGCGATTACTGTTACTACAAAGGAGCTGCCCCGCCTGGCGGACCTCTGGGTCCTTCCCCGCGGAGACCTTTTGATGGTGGATAAGAAACCCTACACCACAGTGTGAGGAATAGTGGCTTGCTGTACAGCTCCGTGCCCCGTGGGCGGGGGGGTCGGGGAGAAGGGCGTACGTTACGCGAACAGCCGGCTCTCCCTGTGCCACCTTAGCAGACAGTATCTCATTTCAGGCACCATTACTGTCCTGCCACTCAGATCAGGGAACTGAGGTTTGGGAGGACAGGCTGTCTGTCCCACGGGCTAGGGAGGTGGGGTAAATGAGCCTCTGCTCACACCCCCGGCCCGTTCCTTTGGGCCCAGAAACAGTAAGAGACGTTTTTCTAATCCTCGCGGGTCCAGAAGGATGAAGATGGGTAAGAAGAGTTCTTTCCCTGGCAGCCTCTCTGTCACTGGAACAAACGCCGGCAGCAGAGGTGGCTGAGATGGCATTTGGCTGCTTCCGGAGGCAGTCCTGACTCTCCACTGGTTCACAAAACTTAGTGAGAACAAAGGACATGAGCTCACCCGGGCCGGGTCCAGCGGCACTTTCTAAGGGATAGTCCCTGAACTTGGGGCTCCATCTTTGTGTTACGAGGCCTCTGGTGAGCTGCCCACAGCCACCCGAGGAGAACACCCAGAAACTGTCTGAGTGGTCCCCTCAGACACCCCAACAGAAAAGGGTCTCTCTGCCTTTAAGAGTAACACGCATTGCTGAAAAGAGCTCATAAAGGATGCTGTGACGCCTCGGTAAGGAATCACCCTCATTTCAATTTCCTAGACTTCTGGGGGTGATGGAGAGTGGGGCGCAGGACAGACAGCCTGCTTGGCCAGGGTGCGAGAGTTCTGCTGCCCACATCTCACCTCCGGTCTGGTCAAGGGAACATGCTAGGACAGAGCCGACTCAGTGTCCCCCGACACCCCTGGACAGAGACCCCCAGGTAGAAACGACATTTCCTAGCACCCCCTGCAGCCAGGCATGGCCTCGTGACCAAGCCCCTGTAAAGGGAATCCCTGGCCTTCCATTTCGACTCCCTCCCTGGGCCTCTCACAGGCCGAGGGCGCAGACAGCCCCAGGCCAAGATGCAACTCAGGAGGGTTGGGGAAGAGAGAGAGAGAAACGGGTTCTTCCAGCCACTGTGTTTTGGGGTCTGTGCAATTGACCCGATTAATCAAAAATTAATGTTTGAAGCTTTGGCTTCAAAGATCAAGTCGTCAGAGAGTATTTATCGTTCTAGTAAATAGTCAATGGAAAATAGGTGGCTGAGTTTTACTGCCTTTTCTTCCCCCAGGACAGAATCAAGAGAATGAAGGCAGACCTGTCTCTTCTCTCCCCAAGGCTTCCTGCTGGAGTTTTAGGAGCACTGTGAAGAGGTGGCTTCCAGCCTTTCTCAGATGACCTTTTGAGACCCCTGCCCAACCCCACAAGCGTGGCAAGGGGCTTCTAGGAAGATAAGTTGTAGCCGCTGGTGTCCCAAGTGGGTTCACGGTCCCTCTCGGCAGGAGACGACCTGGCACCTACACTGTGTTCTCGCCCAACTCCTCCCCCGGCCCAGGGCCGGACGCCGCCCTTGTCTGAGGGGTACTCCTCTGGACCGAGCACCCTGATTAGGGGCCCAAGCCCTCCCCGGAGAGCGTGAGTGAGGAGCGGGGACCGACGCGTCCTCCAGCAGGGAATCCAGCACCCATACACTGTCCGGTGAGCGGGGTGGCGAAAGACCCCGAGGGTGCCAGGAGAGGGAAGAGGCGGCTGCTGGTCAAAAATTCAGCAAAGCCCCACCCGCCTGCCATGCACGCCTTGACCAGCCCCGATGGAGGACATGTGGCGGTCACACGGGAGGAGGAAACGACAAAGGTGCTCAACCCTGCAAGAGGCAGCCTTCCACCCACAAAGGAACAGGGCGGCCGCGGCTGGTGGTCTGGGAGCCGGGAAACCCCCGTGTCCACATCGGTCCCCAGCAGAGGCCAGACCCTGGTTCCCTGGCCCCAGGCGAGGGAAGGGAGGGGACCTCCGGTGACTCGTCACTCACCCTGCAAGGCTTCTTTGGCTCTGGCTAGCTCCTGCTCCTTCTGGACCAGCTGGACCCTGAGCTCGGTGGCTGAGAGGACCTCGGAGGACTTGCCGCCCTGTGACTCCTCCAAGTCCTTCGTCAACATCTCCTTCATCTGCCGGAGAAGGTGGACTTCCTCCTGGAGCCGAGACACCTCTTCCCGCAGGAGCGCTAGGGGAGAGGGGCACAGGGTTAGAGCAAGGGGACAGTGGCTCAGGCTCGCTCACTTTTTCTGGGGACAGTTCAAGGGTGCTTTGGCTTCTCCTATTTGCTCTGCTTTTGGGAGCTTTTTCTACACATGTATAAAAAGAAAACCCCCCCAAAGACACCACCTATTCCAAAGGGGCCCCCATCCGGTCCTGGGTACCCCCTGAGCCTGCAGAGAGAGCATGCCTGGTGGGACCCCCACACCCCACCAGATTCTCTAGGGCTGCTGTCGCTGCACCAGGAGCATCCACTCCAATGGCCAATGGTCTTCCTACCTCCAGTGGGAAGAGCAGGAGAGAGAATGAAAAGCTGGCGCGAGTCAGCATTATAAGCCCGGGCCAGCAGCTTGCCCAGGTCAGCTCTCTGTGCATGACCCCATTTAATCCTACCAAAACCTCCTGCGGCAGGTACTGTCCTAACCCCCATTTCACAGATTGGGAAGTCAAAGATCGGAGAGATTAAGTAGCTCCACGAGGTCCTAAGATTAGTAGGTAGCAGAGCCTGAGCTCCCAGTCTGACATCAGAAAACAGCCCTGAAGAGGCACAGTCAACACGTCTCACGAACAGAGCCTTCGGGAGCCCGGCAGAAACAGGACGTCCGCATTCACACCTGAATGTGCAGGAAAACGGGTTCTAATGAGCAGCAACGACAGCTCTGGAAGGTCCCCCAGCGTCATGGCCAGCATCACGGCCCCCAAAAGAGCTGCCTTCCCTTCTTCACAGGTTTCTTCCTGTCAGTCAGTCTCAGCCCCCCTGTCACCTCAAGACACCTGAGCGGACCCTGCCTGCTGTACCATTTGCGCAGCACATTGGAAAACCTGCACAAAACCCTTTACTACTGCGGGAGGCCCACGTGCCCACCGTCTGTGTGTCCAGTGCGCACAGCTCCGAGAGCGGCCTAGTCATACTGCTCCGTCTTATTCACTACAGGGCCTCAAGTGCCCCAGTGTGTGACGACACGTGACAGGCGAATGACTCCTTCCACCCATCCATCCACCCAGTAAGGGTTTATCGGCACCTGCCACATGCCAGATGCTGCTCTAGGTACTGGGGACTCCCGGGTGAATGTCACAGACAGATTCCGCCCTCAGGCTGGCACTCCCAGACCCCACCGTGAACCGCTCCAGGTACTGGGGACTCCCGGGTGAACGTCACAGACAGATTCTGCCCTCAGGCTGGCACTCCCAGACCCCACCGTGAACACGGGTAGAAGGACCCCAAGCCTGCACCCCAGGGAGGCAGGCCATCTGCAAGGGAGTGCCTGGCTGCTCTGATATCGATCAAGGGCAGGCTGGTAACTGTCTAAGTCCCTGAGCAAAACTGCAACGTCGATTTGCTCTTGGGGCCCCTCCCCAGCCCTTAATGTAGGCCGCCTATGCCGCAGGCCCGGCAGGGCATCCAAAAAGGAGCAGGGAACACCCTAGGCCCCAAGAAGCCTCCAGGGAGTAGAAGGAGCACACACAAGTAAGCATAATAAAAGCGAGGGGCCACCATTGTGCTTGGGGCACAAGGACATTTGAGACGGGTCTTGGAAGATGGGGCGGGGGAGGCGGGCGGCAAGCAGAGAGAAGAGCGTGAGCAAAGGCCCGAAGGCTGGAGGGACAGAGAGCCCCCCCACACCATGACCGACGAATGGGTACGAGGTGAGGACGGGCAGGAGCAGGCCCGGAGGGCTACACTCGCGACAGCCTACGAAAGGTTTTAACCCCGACCACCCCCCGCTGTGCCCCAGCCCTGACTCGCCATCTCCAGCCCTGCTCAGGACTCTGGAACTTCCATTCCTTCTCCCTGACAGAGACGGAATGTTTGTGTCTCCTCAAAATTCATATATTGAGACCTAATCCCCAATGTGTGTTTGGAGGTGGGGCCTGTGTGGGTTGATCAGGTCATGAGGTTGGAGCCCTCAGGAATGGGATTAGCGCCCTTACAGCAGAGACCCCAGAGAGACCCCTCGTCCTGCCCGTCCCTTCCACCGTGTGAGGACGCAGCAAAAAGACAGGCACCTATGAACCAGGAGGAGGGTCCTCGCCAGACCCCGAATCTGCCAGCGCCTTGATCTCGGCCTCCAGAATGTTAAGCAGTGCATTCCTGTGGTTTATAAGCATCCCGTCTATGGTGGTTTAGTTACAGCGGCCCAAACGGACTAAGACGCTCTCTCTCCATCATTCCTCCCCAATCGCCCATCCTGCCAGAGTCTGTTTCCACTCGACTGTCACCAAAAGTCTGTTTCGCAATACGGTGTGAGTGACTGCTAACGTATCTGTGCACGTAGAAGGCAGGTTTGTTTCGGTTTGTCATTTAAAAAAAATTTTTTTAGAAGCATGACTTCTGGACTTGCTCAAATCGCCCCGAGGAAGCCACAGAAGCTGTTGACTGCGTTTACGCAGACCACAGAGGATTCCAAGAGACCTGGTGTCGATCGCAATCCTGGTCGGGGCCTCTGTCATGATCTCATGCGAGCCAGCCCCATCATTTCTCCGGGTCTCAGTGGTCATGTACATTGCATGGGGATAATGCTTTGCTAGATGGAGCAAATAAAATAAAGCAAAGCAAAACAAAAAAACCCCAGATGCACGATTAAATTTGAATTTCAGGTAAACAACAACAAATTTTTTAGTATGTCCTAAACATCGTGTACATATTTCCACTAGAAATTTATTCGTTGTTTCTCTGAAATTCAAATTTAACTGGGCGTGCTGTGTTTTATCCAGCAACCCTACTCCCAGCCCATGGGGATTCTGGTACAATGAACCGGGGCAATCCCCAGGAGTGGGGCTCTGCTGGAGCACCCCAGGGGTAAGGTGGTGAAGGCACAGCCCTCTCTTCATCCCTGCACTGAAGTGGGAGCAGAGTGCCTTTCTCCTGGGCTACCAGTGGCAAAGGCAGATTTTTCCTGAGCTCACCATTCTAACAGGTGTACCTGACATGTAGGCCCCGCCTCTCAAGTCAGGCCCTAAATAAACCAGAGGGCGGGACAGCAGGTGTGGCAATTGCAGAAGCCAAGTCTTAGGAGACCAGGCTGGAAAAACAACTTCATGGAAAGAGAGAGCCTTGTGTAAGCTTACTGACTGCATCTGTCCTGACTGGGTGTGTAAACCCAGATCTCACACACCCTGGACCTCTGCAGGGGCAGAGATGCATGGCAACACAGATGGCAGCCACAGGCAGCCTCACAAGACTGTAGCTCGTTTTTGGGTTCCAGGACAGTGGGCAGGCACTTCCCCTTCCTGGGCCTACGCTGCCTCACCTGTAAAATGAGACACGTGTCATACACTTAAATGAGTTTAGCACAGCGAGCATAGGGGGTGCCCATCACACCTGCACCCCCCTTTCCCATTGCATTAGAAGAGGTGACCACAATCCTTAGAAACGGTGAAGCAGCCGGCGCCGGGTGACCTGCGCTTCTGCTGCAGGGGGACTGCTCCCTTGCCGTGGGACACTGGGCAAGTTACTGTCCCCTCTTTGGGCCTTCATATTATCAGTGCCCTTAGAGGGACCTACTCTTTATAAATCTAGATGAATACTAACGATGATGCATTTCCTCCCTTGGCAAGAACAGGGTCTCTGCTCAAGCTGACAACTTCGCTGCTCTGTAAGGAAGCCACTAAAAGTCACAAGTGGCTATTTAAGTGTAAATTAATTAAAATGACTAACTCAGTTCCTCTGTTGCACTAGCCACACTTCCAGGGCACATAAAGACCACGCCTGTCGTTGCCTGCAGTTGTGGTCAGTGCAGGTCCAGAGGGCGGAGGCGGAGAAGGGAGGAGGTGGTGCTCCTTAAGCACCTGGTGCTGCACATGGACAGCAGAAGCCCGGTGGCGAAGGCAGAGGGGCTGCTGGGGAGGAGCCGCCGTTTCTGCCCTGGCCCAAGGACAGAAAAAGGAAAGACCAATTGTGTACCTTTCTGCAGACGCTGGGCAACCACAGCGCTCTCTCTCTACCTGGGGCAGGATGGCGGGTGGTAAAGAAAAGCCCGAGTGACAAAAAAGCCACAGACTCGGCAGAGCTCCCCAGGACGCCGGAAGTAAGTGTTGCTGGGGCAACAGCTGCTCTCCTGCCACGGCGAAAAAAAAATTACATGCAGGTAGGCCATGCAGTGGAAGCCTCCAGGGGCCTCTTTCTCAGGGCAAGGTGTGGCATACCCACTCAGAGGTAACAAAGGGAGCGTGGGCAGACCTTGCCCTTCTCCTGAACATCTCTTCTGTCTGCAAGAACAATGAGAACCTAGTGCTTAAAAATGCCATTTGTCAGCCTGCCTTGCAACTAAGGTCGTCCATGTAACCCAGTCCTGGTTGGTGAGGTGTAGGACAAAGTCCCCAAGGAGTACTACCTTTTAAGAAAAAAGGGCTTTCCCCCTTCCCTGCTTTCTTGCCTAGAAAGCAGACTTGGGCTGGAGCTTCAGCAGCCACTTTGTAACAAGGAGGCAATATGCACAGGGCCAAAAATACGCCTCGGTCAGCATGGCTCAGAATGAAGACTTGGAGCAGCATCGGCCAGGCAGGGCTGCCTGGCACGAGAGTCTTTGCTTTCTCTGCCAATTTTCTAGCTCAGCAGAACAAACCGCAGCAGCCTTTGCGGGTCTGTGAGGGTCTGTGCGGCTCAGCTGTGGAATCCAGGGAACGGGGGGAGGAGGAAGAGGAGGTGGGGACTGTGGAGGAATCAACGTGGCCGAGGAGGGAGGCGACCGCTCTTGGCCCTGGGAAAAGGCCCGGTTTGTGACAGGCCTTTTCCAGGCTAATGTTTTGTGAGCTCACACAGGCAGGAGAGGAAGAAGAGAGGGAAGAAAGTTACTTTTTGAGACTGTAGGGCACAAGGCAACGGGGGACCAAGAGACCTCTAAGGTCTCCCGATGAGTTGTAGGTTTATAAGCCTGCCTCCCCAAGCCAAGATCTCAATAATAATAATTTTATAATTACAGTGTAATCACTCCACAAGTTATATAAGTACCTATTATACTATTTACC